CGAGACACTCACATTGCGAGGTTCATAAGATCCTTGTCCAGACGAGATAAGCTTCTGGTCAGTGGGACTCGACTGATTGTTATCGTTTCACTGTATCTGAAGGGACCTGGACATCGAAAAATATTATATGAATAGGTTATTGTGAAGATCGTTCCAGGCTTAACATTTAAACAAATATTAAGATAGATGTATCTTTGTCAAAATCAGTACCTGCGTTTGAAGTCTACTACGATATTAGCCTCAGGACAAGGATCGGTGGACTTGATAGGATGAGGTGTGATTAGTCTAGACGACAAATGTATCTGCTGACCACAAGATCTCAAACACAGACGTGTTTGGACTTCGAAGGATGTGTGTCATGCGGATTGGGAATAATGGAGGAATTCTTGCTCTTTCAAATCTGTTCATTTTCTGAACGACGTTTTGTTTGCTGCATGTTGACTTTCATTTCTTTCGCCGGCTCCACGGGACACTTCCTTTGAACAGAATCCTACTGTTTTGTTGCCTAACTGGTACCTAAAGCATGCGAACATTTCTGTCTTTGGAACTACATGCAAGAACCTATTGTCACATAATGAGCTGTAGATGCTATGGGGCTGTGAAGTCCAGAGATGCTTCATAGACAGAATATTTACGAAAACAAAAAAATAAATGTTTGGTCGTAGACATTACATCTGATCCCCGATGTTTTATATATCCAATTTATTTCCCCAAACGTTTCCTTTATTTCATCAGAATCTCTGTACTTCTACAGAGCTATCACACTTCCCAGTTATCTAACTAGATTTTCAAATGCATCTATTACTTGATCGTCTGGTTTGTTTAGATACAAAGATTCAAAGTACATGTAATTAGACTTTAGATTGGATTACATATTTCTCCTCTACCAGGGATAGGGATAAGATAATTTAAAACTTGACTAACTGACTTTGACTTGAGAGATAATTAGGTACCGTGAGAGGTTTCATTGGCTGTTTTTCTTTCACCCTTATTGGTCATACTAGTGTTGAAACAGCACCTGAGGCAAGGATATTTGCTGAAAGGTTTACTGATGAGTAACGTAATTCGTTGCACTCAGAGCACATTTTTTAATCCGTTGTCACAATAGTTCGGATAATGGGGTTAAAAAGGTCAGCTCAAACCCTGTACCCTGAGTATATTTTTTTCATAATCGACTTTTTAGTTGTATTTCAAAATAATGAAATCATCTCTCGAGTAAAATGTGATTTGTTGTTTTTCAAAATATGGAATGAATACCTAGTATTTGAATTCATCTCACATTGAACATACGAGCCAAGCCACCTGAACGACCGCAGTCCTATCATTATGCAACAGTCTCCGAGGACCGATAGTTACACGACGGGTTTAAGTCTCCCGTGGGCCACTACCCCTGGTGGTGTAAGTTATCAACGAAAGAATACGATATGCTTGAATGGTTGCAAAAGTACTTCCGTAAAAAGTACGCACGTGCTCGGTTATTGCCAGAGATTGACAGACAGAGACAGAGTTTATTTGCAGTAAAAGGCCATAGGCCCAAAATACATTCAAAGGAAATTTCAGTGTAGCCAGGGGCACAATGTGCTTTCATGTGTGTTTATAATAATCCTTTTAACATAAAATAGATACAAGGCAACAGATTTTACAGTGCCTACATTAGTATTCTTGAAAAGATTTGCTAAAGAATATACAGTATAAGGCTTTTTAACACATTTTGTAATAAACCTCTCTCTTAGGTGTGAATAGGATTCACAAATGAACAGTACATGGCATTCATCTTCAATATAGGTAAGACCTTTAGACTTGCATGATATACAAAATCTTTGATTATTATCAGTGTTGTTATAACGCCCAGTTTCTACAGCTATTTTAAAATTACTACACCTAAATTGTGCTAAAACAGCTCTTAAATGTGTAGAAAGGTTAAACGATAAATAACATTCAACATTTAACGCTGATTTAAAATACTGATAATAGTTGCATTTGGAAGAATTACTCAGGGAAGAGTACCAGGACTGTTTTAAATTATCTGATAATCTTTGTTTAAATAAGCTTATAAACATCTTTACATCACCAACATCTTGGCTCAACCAAACACATCCAAAACCAAAATTAAACAGAAGATTTGTAACTTTTGATACCCATGTAGTTCTACCACTATCATCTAAAGACTTGAGCATAAGGTAGCTTTGAAAAGGTAATCTGTCATGAGGAAGTTGTAACAATCTACACCAATATTTGATTACACGGGTAAGAGATTGTCTTGGACCTGTATCACTCCGTGTGTATATTGATCAGAGAGCATTATTATTCCTGGAAGGACTGCTTAACACTGATGTTAGTTTCATTTTCAAACGAATTCTTCACTACTGATTAGCTCAACATGATTGTAATGATAGTATAAGTGTAAATACTCTCATTTACACCATATGCTATATCTTACCTGTAAATATGATCCTACTGAATATGTTGACATTTATCGTAATTCAATTGTATTTGTTACTAAATATCAATGGTCAAATCTTGTAAGAGATAAAGTCTCAAATTTGAAGCAAATGTCGTTAGCTCTGAACTTAACTACAGAGTCAATCTCCACAGATACTCTCTCTTACGCAATCCAGCTGCTGGTAACAAACTTTGTTTAATACCTCTTAATGATTCAGATTATTTCTATGACCTATCCTACCTTATCCGTGTTGGCACTTTCGCTTTACAATCTAAAGAATGATTTTGTGGCACATATGATGACATTGTAAAACATGTATTGCTGTTTTGTCCACAAACGGAATGTAACAGAGAGCGACTATTTAGCTCTCTTATTGATCTTTTGGATGTTACAACCTTTGTAAGTGATGATGCTGATGCTGATGCTGATGCTGATGATGTATTGATTAGTTTTCTACTTGGAGGTGTGCCAAATGAAAACATTAGAGATCTTGATACCTATCTGTGGATTCAATAGTATGAAAATCTCAAGTAAAACTGTTCATGAATGGCAAACGGTTTTTCCACACATGTTACTAGATTCACTTCCCCTAATATATACATATCTTCAAATGTTTTTGTAGTTCATAACTTGCATACAATGTTATATCTGCTAAATCATGCATGTGTATCTTCAATTTTGGAGGAAATAAAGACGATCAATCTATCTATCTATCTATCTGTTACATCTCAATGTCCAGATGTAAGCACGTCATGTGCACTTCAAATCATGGTTACATTATACAAAAATATATTTACTACACGACTTACATTCTCTAGACTTCCGTATGAGGCTATTGCTAACTGGAAAATCTTGGAGTCAGACTGGATGAATAGAACAAAAGGGAATTTCCCAGTAATTGAAGTCTCACAGAATGAAGTGTGTGATAATTCAGAAAGATGTTTCTCCTGATGTCAAACGTTCTGGAATCAATCTTGTTTTAGTGTTACACCATAGATTCAAATGTGTCTGGTCGGAAACAACCTGCACCAATTGCAACCAATTAAAGAGTCCCGGTAACATGTGGGGACAATTCCTACAATTACGCAATACAATGGCAATATGAATGTGCATGTACAGGATACGATAAAAACCATGTACAATGACCGGTCTCAATAACATGATTCCTCAAATGGAATCGTATGGTAATCAATCTATAGAACAAGAAACTAAATCAATAATGCATTTCTAAGCATGCCACTTCTTCTCTCTACCTTTTTAAGCATAAGGTATATCATGTTCGTCAGGGAGACTATTTACTTCAAAACAGAAAATATTGTTGATTACGCAGTGAAAATATTCAGTTGACTGCAGTCAGAGAATATTCTGTCCAGATGTACAATCATGCCCGAACACATTAAACCTAAGCAGTGAGTTTAGTTTTACGCCGCACTCAGCAATATTCCAGCTTTATGACGGCGGTCTGTAAATATTCGAGTCTGGACCACACAATCCAGCGACTAACAGCGTGAGCACTGATCTGCCCAACTGGGAACCGATACCGATGGCAATCAATCAAGCCAGCGAGCCTGACCACCCGATCCCGTTAGTCGCCTCTTACGACAAGCATGGGTTACTGAAGATTCATTCTAACCCAGACCTTCACGGGTTTAAACCTAAGCAATATAATATAAACTGGTACATTAGCACCTATATTGTTACCTCCAATTCTAGTTGAGGGTTAGGTAAGGACTGTGAGATGGGTGCGAGGTGGTTATAGGGTGTAGGGTAAAAGTCGCAGTCTTTATATGAAATTCGCGTAACCTGGATATCACTTCAGTCTGGTACAGAGACCAGCTCTGTCCTCTACGACAAACAACTGAACGACGACACTTCGTCGTCAACGTAATCGTTGGTAATCCGACAACATATAATATGACGGCTGCGACTGGCCAGTCCGAACCAGATGCCCTCTTGGATGATGAACTGTGTAACCTCGGGATCACTCCATATCATTATTTTGTAATGAAGTAACGGGCCATGCTGAGTTGGATTCGATAACAAGTAACACATATATGTTATCACATTATACGTCAATTCCCTGGCCCTAACAGGGTTAAAGACGTAGATAGATGCATTGGTTGAACGTGTCTAGAATGACAGATAGGTTACTATTGATTTTGTAGTTAATTTTGATTGATTTACTGAACGCAATTTAGTTCATTTAGCTAAATGTATTGGAATCAATCCAGCCATAATTACTATGAGGAGTATGAATTCTCAATATAATACTAATCGCCTATATTTAACAGCTTTGTACATAGGATCCAAATTGCAAAATTGTGATCTAAACTGTGAGCTTCGTCTGATGAACTGGAAAGAGCGTGGTACAAAATGTTGAATTGTATTCTATAAAAGTCTTAAGTCCTCGAAAAAAGACTTAAGTCTATGGAAAGTGACTTAAGTTTTTGAAAAAACTTAAGTTTTGTCTTAAGTCACTTGTTTTTCTTAGTCATATTCAATAAAGGTTTTAGACTTAAGTTTTGTTGTTTTTTGGACTTGTTTTCCTAAGCCTAAGCCTGCATCCATGTAGGCTTAACTATAGGATTTCAACTTAAGTCTGTAACTAAGATGGCTGCCGCACAGCGTGTTTATTTGCCAAGATCCAACAGATTCAATGATATGCGTGATGAGGAACTTCTTAAGAGATACAGACTGAACCAACAAGGTATTAGATTTTTATTGCAACTTGTTGGAGCACAAATACAGCCATTAACTGGACGGAATCATGCAATTGACGCGACAACAAAACTTTTAGTCACTTTGAGGTTCCTGGCAACAGGCAAGTTTCAATTGTGTAACGGGGATGATCATGGGTTGAGCCAACCGAGCGTTTCACGTGCGATATGCACGACTGTAGAAGCCTTGACCACACCTGCCATGGTGGCACGGTTTATACACTTTCCCAGTCCTGCCGAGTGTCAACGTAACAAGGTGGAGTTTCACCGGACAGCCAACTTCCCGGGGGTGATCGGCGTCATTGATGGCACACACATACAGATACAGGCACCGACTGTAAATGAGGATGTTTACGTCAATCGGCATCACTACCACAGCATCAACACACAGGTACTTTCTTTACGGATTCATATTTTGTGTGATGAAAAATAGTTCATTTCTAAAGACACACATGTACAGTAACGTCTCAAACCTTTCGATCGTCGATTTGGGCGTAACAAACTTGTAAACGTGCCGTGGTTTTGTATTTTTCAGGTAGTATTCGATCCCTTCGATCGCATCATTGACATCGTTGCACGCTGGCCTGGGTCCACACACGACTCGAGAATCTTGTCCCAGAGTGGCCTTTTCCGGTTAATGGAGGGTAACAACTTGCCAGCTGGGTGTCACCTCCTCGGTGACAGCGGTTATCCGTCCAGACGTTGGTTGCTAACACCTTTCTTACACCCACAACCCGGCTGTCAGATTAAATACAACCGGTAAGAATTAACCCTGACACGTTGGAGTGATCCCCCTTGGTACTATATAAAAAGGTGCAGTCAGAATTTGGATCACACATAATGCGGTAAACAATATCAAACTAAACCTTTTCGTAATATGCAAGTATGTATCCATCAGATGATCATAATTTCTTTTGATATATGAATATTAAGTATGCACTGATATAAAACTGTGATTAGGTCACACCAAAATATATGTTTTGTTTTCTTCTGTTCATTTCAACTTTTTTTAGTGTTTGCAATGATAATCCACATTCTGACAGAAGAAATATCTGAGTTTTTGGAGTAAAATTGAATATAAATAAAAGTAAAAAGACAATCACCCATAAATATCTAAAATATTTTTTTTCAAACTTATGTGAACCAAATTTATTTTGATTTATTTCAATAATTTAAGACAAAATTGTTTTCAGAGCTCACAAGATCACAAGAAGTTGTGTTGAGCGGGGAATTGGCCAGCTGAAACGCAGATTTGGGGTCCTTCATGGTGAGATCAGACAATCCCCAGAGAGAACATGCAAGGTGAAAATGAAAAACTAAATGAAAGGGTTAAGAATATGCTTTTGAGAAATCAATAACTTAATAATAATATGTTGTAACTAGCTGTACCAAGATTTATCATGTTCATTGCAATTTGTTTTTAGTCACAGTGTGTTATATCATGTGTTTCAGGTAATAATAGCCTGTGCTGTTCTCCATAATATTTGCAAGGAGATGAACATACCGATTCCACCAGGTGATGGCAACCTACAGCAACAACGGCACGCAGCCACATTACCAGCCGTCCTGCCACCACAAGGTCTGATGGGAGTGCGCTACAGGGAACAGTTTGCAAGGACTCATTTTCCATGTAAGTCTGATTATATATGTTTGTTTCAATGATCAAAGTGATTATCAAAATTTTTTCAGCATTTACTATGACTGGTACAAATGATTACTTTGACAAACAATCCCAATTGTAACTTCTTCAATACAAGATGAATAACAAAACAACTGATACATCCTGAAGAATATTTAATGTAAAAATATAGTAATTTTAATGTTGAATAACATTACAAAGGACAGGTTCTAAATAACCAATAGATTAACAGGAAAATAATGAGCACTGTTCACACACTACAGTAAAATCTATACTTTTTTATAAATCAATGCTTATAGCTATATCATTACAGCTATGTAATCATAAATATAATATAATAATTCATAAACATCAGACAATCAAAATCTCTCATAAGAATATGCAACTTAAATATAAATAAAAAAATAGTGACTTAGATGTGAATATCTTTCATAAAATATGATTATGGGATTATATGAAAAATTCCTTCAAAGAATGAATATTTATCATCTCTAAGGATAATTGTTTGTTTTGGAATATGTTTTAGAATTCATCTGATTATCAATTATTCTTTTACATGAAAAACAAAATACATTTTCTGTTAACAGTTAAGATTGACATTATTTAATTTTTCTGTAAATTTCTTGTCACATGGCAACAAGTGTTTATTGGTAGAGATTGAGTTCCAGCACTGTACAATTAGGTTAACTTTATCCATGTTTATACCTGAAATTATTTGATTTCATTTTATTCCAAAATTAATATAACACTCAATGTGTACACATGATATTCAACAAGTACATTCTGTAACTATCAATACAATAACAAGCAATAAAACTTTAAAATATTTGAAACATTTGACACAAAATAGACTCATCTTCACCACTTAGTTCATTTAACCATTTGTCTATTTGTCTATGTAATATTTCAACATACACAAAGAAGTTAGCCCCAAGTATTGTAACTATCAATACAATAACAAGCGATAAAACGTTTAATTTTTTGAAACATTTGACACCCAACAGAGTCACCTTGAACACTTAGTTAATTTGTCTATGTAATATTTCAACATACACAAAGAATTAGTTTTAGCAACAATCAAGTCAGAACATATGCCATAATTTCCTGGTAAGAACATGTGTTTACCCAACAATTCAAGTCAAAGAAAATCAAAATTGTTCCCATATTCTGTTATTTTTTTAGTTTTTGTTAATCTGCTGTCATTAGCTCTGAACATTGAGCAAATCTACCTTTGAGAGATACATATAGATACAATGACCAAATTTACTTTTGTCAAAAAAATACCCCAGTACAACTCATACATGTTAATAATTAGACATAAATAGACACAAAATTCTATTTCATATTAATGGATAAGTCACACATACCAACAAATCATAACTTCAATGCTTTGTGCTTAATCAAGATTTTTGTGTGTAGGTTGAACTAGTCATACAGACATAAACTGATACTGACTACTAGTATTTGATACAGCTATTCTTCTAATTTCCTTAATTTTGATTGAAGATAAGTTTTCTGTAACTTTAGAACTTCAATCTCAAGTAGAAACTTCTCTCTTTCTAGGACTTCTAAGGAAGTTGTTGATATGGATGCTGCTGCTGATAGTGATGCTGATGCTGCTGCTGCTGCTGATGATGATGACTGTCCCACCTGTGATGTAGGAAAAGGACATCTGACTCCCTCTTGAACTGGATCTAACTCTCTGAAACACAGATGTAGATTATCAGTATTGTATTCATCAAAATATATCATTACTTTTTAAATCCTGTTTTCTGTTATTATTTTATCTCTTCAAAGATTTTCAGACAAATATAGAAACAAGGTTTATCTAATTTCTAATTTCAACTTTAATTTTAGGAATTCAAATGGTCAGGCATGCATGGTCAGGGGAACTCATACAATTGTTTCAATATGTTATTACCTACTTTTCAAAGGACTGATCTAGCTCTAGGAGCTGGATGAAACTAGAATCCATGGACATCGGCCCAATCCCTGTCAGCACTGTATTCTCCCGGCCTATACAGTCCACCACAGCTTCTGTAACTGGGCTAATTGGTGTTGGGGGAGGTCCACCACCTGAAAATATTGTCAGACATTAATTATTGTAATTATAAAAAATTTTTTTTTCCACTTAATTGGAATTACTCATACTATATAAACATACGGTAAAGGTCATATGAAACATATTACACAACTCACCCAATGTCATCTGCACATATCATATATAGAAGATTACTATTTTTCGTAACAAATACCATGTTTACCTCATCAAGCAAGATAGAAATTTGATGTTTTTATGATTTTGCAATGTAGACTCATCTGTGTGATATTTTACATTTTACAGTTTTCTGCTTGGAAAAGTTTTAAATAGTTGTATGACAGAAAGTAAATTTGATTTATACTGGAGATTAAAATTATTAGGGTAAGTAGCAAAATTTGGGGTCAGTAGTTACATCAGAACCCCAACATTTCTTTTAAGGCCCTAACCCCAATATGTTACCCTCCATAGGACATAAATTACAAAATTTACCGGTTGCAGTTGTTGCATTCTTGAAAGTGCTGTAATTTTTTTGCCCGCACTCTTAAGGTTTTTCCATTTCTTTATAACCTCATCTTTGCTTCTTTGTTGGTGTCCAATTGAATTGATGGTGTCAGTGATTTTCTAAAACAAAAAGTTGTTAACAACTGGATTAATATCACCTCCTTGATTTGAAAATAACAAATTTTTGTTTGGCATTCTTCAATTGGAGGATGGAAAACGAAAATTATTTTAATTGATGAAAAACTAATATTTCAGTGCATTTAATGATTTCTCTGTTGATTATTTCAAGTCGGAGGGAACAAAGGTAAAAAGGTTGCAAAAAATGTATATAATTACACCTTTAAGGCTTAGTAATTGTGTACCATTAATCATAGATATGTGTATTATAAACTGAAGTAAAGCCCTTTATTGGATTCCAAAACAGAATGTAGAGAATATTACTGTAAATAAACAATCTTACAAACAGCATCCGTCATATCATGAGAAGGGCATTGTCTTTGTTTCAATTCAACTATTTTTTTAAATATATCAATTCGGAGAGGGTAAAGATACCCACCTACATAAAACACTCAAGGGAATACATCAAGCAAATAAGGATGAAATACACTATTTCCTTTGCATATTTTGGGCATACTTCAATACAGGTGTCTCTAGAATAATGGAGCACAACACAGTGACACATTGCTCAGTTCCAGTTTTGGAGTCACATAACCTATCAGTATTTCCCTCACCTTTTGAAAACAGGGATAAAAATATTTTAATCATTGTGAAAATGTCAAAATTAGGAATGCTATATTAGCCATAAAACACGTACTCCATGCGCATCTTTAGCCTACACTTACATGTGCTTATCTATGGATATCTATCTATCTATCTATCTATCTGTCTCTGTCTGTCTGTCTGTGTGTGTCTCTCTCTCTCTTGATAGACAGACAGACAGACAGAGAGAGGCAGACAGAGACAGAGAGAGACTCAGAGACAGCCTAGGCTGGTCCACTTGAAACTGTTCTCATCAATAACACTGGCACAGGAATGTGCAATTACACTTTTTGCATCAGCCTTGACAACGGTAAAAATTGTCGTTCATATCTGATCATGTGTATAATTTCTCCTTCAACAGCACAGTGATTCTCTTCGCGAAATTCAAACACTGTAATTCCATTACTTTTGTGAGATAATTTACATGAAAGACTCTTTCTGATTGGCATTTTAAACTTCATCTGATCAACTGACTCAGTACTGAATCACACAACATTTTACATGATATAAAATCACTCGAGATTTCACTCACTTGCCATGTCTCCTGGCGACTCGTGGCCGTCACTCCCTGGGAAAATTTCCCCCTCAATCGTTTGCTTGCTCGCCTTGACGAGATCCGCTAATAGGAGGCACTCATCCTTCGTCCAGTTTGGCTGCCTTTTCCGTGAACTACCACAACTACCGGCGTTATCAACATCTGTCATTTTGTTTACGAGTGTCGTCTGCTGTAAACATCCGGGGAATTCCGGGGATATCCCGTGACGTCAGGAAATTTTTCATGGGATTTCCCTTGACAACATGCGCACGCATGGGTATGAACCTGACTAAGTTTTTTTACGCAGACTTAGCTAAGTCTCTGACTTAAGTTTATATTGAATACCGACTTAAGTTTTTGACTTACCTAAGTCAATTTTTTTAGACTTAGGAAAAAAATTAAGAAAAATCTTAGACTTTTTTAGAATACCGCCCCAGATCTGTGGCGGTCCTCTAATCTATGGCGGGTTTCCTAATCCGTGGCAGGTTTGATTGTTCGATTGTTACATGACGTCAACGCGTAATGGCGTCATTACGCGATGACGTCATCATCGCTAACCGTTCCCGACGTTATTCGACACTAGCCGTTCGTGGCAATAGTAATCTCAGGAAAATCTTCAAAGCTAAGAAAATGGAAACTATAGAAAATGATGGTTTTGTAATTGCGGAGCCACCTACAAAGAAGAAGAAGAAACCCGTATCAAGAGATCCCAAAACAGAAACATTTTGGAACGACATGGAAAAACTTGATACGTGTGGATTACAAAACTGAAAACGCTGAATCCGAAATGGGGAAGTGTAAAGATTTGCAAGATCCTCTCGTTTGCAGCCAACGAAAGGAAAATCCTTGAGAATTATTTCTTTTACGAGTTGTGTTGATTTAGACCCCCCCCGCATCGGCGACGTTACACCAAAGAAGAAATGGTAAAAATCATTGTTCAAAACCACGCACTGGACCATAGGAAATCGGCGGCCATTTATTAAAGCATTCGCCGCTGTGTTTTCCTAGAAGCTAGTAAGTTGTTGTTTGACATCAATGCAAAATGTGAGGAATGCAACAGTGTCAGTGAATTTATCCAAAACCACCCGGACGAGGAAGCCAATTCCTGCGACTTATCCCAACTGCCGGTGGCAAATAGATCTTAAGAAGATGTCCACCTACAAAGGGTTCAACCATGTTTTGTAATATTGTGGTCTATTTCAGACCGAACCCCGCGATGAACAAGGCCGTCGCTGTTTTCACCAGCAGCTTCTGGAGACCGGGAACTGTCACCGCATCTAAGAACTCTAACTGACCGAGTGTACGAGGTGATGGACACTCAAAACTCCCATAGGTTCCAGTTGAACAGACATCACATCCGTGATGGACAGATTTAGATGTATAAGAAATAAATGTTTTTTACACGTTATTCACCCTTTTGTCTTTCTTCATGTATTGTTTAATATTAAATTAAAAGGAAAGCAAACGTATTCGATAATTAACATGGCCTAAATTTTCGAAGCTCTCTTAGTTTCTATGATAGTCGTGAAAACATTAGCAATATCGAAAGACGATCTTAGCGCTAACAGACCTTCGAATATCTAGGCCCAGGGGTATCAGTAAGTTAGAAACTCATAAATGAAATGCCATTAACCCCTATTCTACCGAGCTGAAATGTTCTAACGACGATGAGTAGGAAATCCGCCACAGATTAGGGTAGGTACGGCAACTAGCCACGGATTTGAGGCCTGCCATGGATCCGAGTCTTACATGTGTATCCAGGAATTTCAAATCTCCTTGAAACACACAACGAACTGAGCATAGAGGTTATTCAGTTCATTCTATTCCATAGGAATACCTGCAGCGTCGTGCCTCTGTCAGTGGGGACGAGCTCGAGGAACTTGCTTGTAACTTCTGTAAACATCATGTGTTATTTTTATTAGATTAAATTAAAATGATACTACAGGCCACACCTGGTACATTTACTTATAAAAAACCTTTTAAAAAAACAATTAAAAACAACTTTACTGATCGTGTTAAGATATCAGGCACATAAACGTTTAGGCATCCACCTACATAAAACGGAGTTATCGGATGTTCCAAACAGTGCTCGCCTGGATATAAAAAACTGTAATATTACAGCCCGTGACATATCTGTAATGTATTCACCAGTACCATGAAACATCAATCATCCCCAAATTCAATGATCGAGTCAGGTAACACAGTTATGTTTTAAAATGGATCAGTTAAGTCGCTTGTAACGGCGTCAACGACGTCGCCTTTCCAGCATGGTGTAATTACCAACCACGGAGACTGTGTTGTAACCGGCGCCTCACTCAGTTTTAAAATAGCCGGAATCTACAAATAATCAACTTTATGGCCCCAGACTCCGATCCTGCTGCTCGTCTCAGTTATAAGCCAAGAAGTAAAACTACCTTTCCTACACTGATTACATCGTGTAACAGTTTAATGTGGCCGTGTGTGATGTTGGTAATATGTGCAGGGACGCTGTAATTCACGTGTAGACATTACCATCGATAAATTCGACATCATCAAAAGTCAAGAATTTCATCGAGGTTTGTTGATGAACAGGCGGTAAGACTAATTCAATAAATAAATAAGCTTTCAGAGAAAGTTGTATGCATTAAATCTCTGGTTATAATTATACTCTACCTTAACATGATCGTGTTGCATCATATATGTCAACGACAAACAGATCCCAGCATTCCTCCCCCTTCCCACCTTCCAACCTCTCCTCCACCATTATACCATCTGTATCCTTTGTTTGTGTCTTTCCCTTCCCTTCTTCTTTTCCACATAAGACTTCCCATAGGTATTCCTAAACACTGAAAACATATCAGAATCACAGTGACAGATTTTTGTGTCTACTTTTCTGATGTTAATTAATTGTTTTTTATTTTAACCGACTTTAGATCATGAGGTCTACATGATACACATGTATACAAAAGTTACCGCCGTAGCATGAATCATGATATTAATTAACTATTTACATATGGTGTTTCACACCCATGACATACGTCCAATGTGATCACCGCTCACCTTCAGCGGAGAGCACTTAATATTACTGTCGTAATGGTTTCCAATTTTTATATTTTAGGGCTGTATTTATTTAAAGTCCGAAATCTGATTGTGGCACAGATTTCTTTGAGTATGGAAATGTGTTTGTCGCTTTCATGGGCATTCAACATTTTGTACCAAACTCTTTTTCGTTCATCAGACGATGTACAGTTTGGTTCCCATGTACAAAGCTTCTAAATATCGGTGATTTGTATTGTATTGAAACATACTCCTTACAGCATACTGGTAATTCTGGCTTGGTTGTTTCCAATACATCCAGATATATGAATTACATTATTTCCAATAAAACCAGCAAAGTGAGCGACAAAATCAATAGTAACCTATCTGTCATTCTAGACACGCTCAGTAAGTGCATCTGTGTACGTCTTTAACGTTGTTAGGGCCTGGGTTTCTGTATAATGTAATAACATATGGGTATCACTTGCTAACACAGCATGGCCTGTTACTTCATTACAAGGCAATGATATGAAGTTTTCTCTGGGGTCATCAGCCACAGAGGGCATCTAGTTCAGACTGGTTGGTCGCCCTTTTCACATTGAATGTCGTCGGATCACCAACGACCACCCTATCTCCGCACCAGGCATCTTCGTCAGTGAGCGTTATCAGGCTTACATCAGTATGTCAGACAATCTATAATTTCTTTTAATTTATACATAAGAGCACGTTGTCCAAATAATTGACTGGCGTCCTTTTGTACTGTTCGGGTATCTTAACTTATCTCTTCATTGGACAACCCGAAAATATCCGGGTTAGAATTGGTCTTCAGCAAAACACGCTTGTCGTAAGAGGCGACTAACGGGATCGGGTGGGCAGGCTCGCTGACTTGGTTGACACGTCATTGTACCCTAATTCCGTAGATAGATGCTCATGATGTTGTTCACTGGATTGACAGTTTCCGATCAGAATATATTTTCTTCTTTTTTTCGCAAATACTCCATTTATGATGCATGTCTGGACTTCACAGCCTCATAGTAGCTACAGCTCATAATTTGACAGTAGGTTCTTGAAGTAGTTCCAAAGACAGAAATGCTATGCTTCAGATACCACTTAGGCAACAAAACAGTAGGATACTCTTCAAAGGGAGTGTCCTTTGGAGCCGGAGAATGACCTAAAAGTCAATTTTCAACAAACAAAACGTCGTTCAGAAAATGGATGGATTTGAAAGAAGAAAATTCCTCTCCATTTTTCCCAATCCGCCATGACACACATCCTTCGAAGTCCAAACACGTCTGTGTTTGAGATCTTGTGTCCATCAGATACTTTTGTCGTCTAGACTAATCACACCTCATCCTATCAAGTCCACCGATCCTTGTCCTAAGGCTAATATCGTAGTAGACTTCAAACGAGGGTACTGATTTTCACAAAGATACATTTACCTCAATATTTGTTTAAATGTTAAGCCTGGAACGATCTTCACAATGACCTATTCACATAATACTTTCGATGTTCCCTTCAGATAAAATGCAACGATAACAATCAATCGAGTTCCTCTGACCAGAAGCTTATCTCGTCTGGACAAGGATCTTATGAACCTCGGAATGTGATTGTCTCGTCGCCACAAAGGCAATCTTGATGTGTTCAAAAATAATTCATCTTCTGATACGTAAATATAGACGTTATCTATATATGTGGACAGATAGGACTAATATAGCCTCACTCAACACACATCAACGTATTAAGCATGTATTAAATAAAGAAGGTCTCCCAGTCTAGACGGCCGAGGTCGTTCAATGAATACTCAATAAACCAAAGGGTAATGGGTCGCTCTGGAGGTGAATCTGGCAAGCTTTCAATAACAGCTACGTTCTTTGAATGTATAATTGAATATCCGAACCTGCTGTTTTTGTTTCATTAAATGATATATTCCTATATGTAGACATTTGATCTTTTGAAATATAGGCGTCAAAACCCTTTCCATATTTATTAGACATTTCTGCCAAATTCAGTCAATTGTACGAGTACAACTTTATCGTGCGCATGTGTTTATTAATTAACACCAAATACTGATGGTACCATGTGTTCGCGAAAGTGTGATTTAGTTGTTCAATCCACCAAAAGTACATAGCATAATTGAAAAAAGGCAATTGCGTCTGACATATGTTTTGTCATTGATGGTATAGATTAGGGAATAGGTACAATATATCAGAAACGTTTAGGCAAATCAATACAAGTATAAATTCTTAAGGAATATACTGGTTAATATACATGTAACTTATAACATTTGAGTTTTTCCGGATGATTTGTTTCCGAAGACATGTGGGATAATATTAGTTCGCAGGTGCGTGTAGGACTGATGAAAGCCTTTGATTTATTTGTGTCTTCTTTTTGTTTGGCCAAGGTTTCAAAGCAATAC